ATCCATAAAGGTCAAGACATAGTTTTATGATATGCTCATGCCAAATAACGTGTTCATAAATATTAATATCCCTAGGTCAGGGGTCAGCAACCTGCGGCTCTGGAGCTGCATGTGGCTCCCTGTTGCTGGTCGGTTCCACAATTGATAAGGCTTTTGGTTAGGACAGGTAGAGGAAAAAGGATGCCACATTAGGAGGAGACTATGATGGGGGAACCGGACTTTCGGTCGGCTCCAGAATTGAACGGGGGCTTCCGGTTAGGACCTTTGTGGCTCTTTGAGTGTTTAAGGTTGCCGACCACTGCCCTAGGTCAACATGCAACTTTAATCAAATACGTATCATAAGCATATACCTCTTAAGTAAATATGCAAAGCATATTCAAAATGGATAATTTAGTTGCTCTGATATCAAAGTTGTTTTACTCCATAATTTACTATGAACTGGTTTAGTGATATGTTCCACATATAACTGCAAATTAAATTCAATCAGTTACTGATGTTCACACATAACTACAAATCGCTTTTACCTTTCAATTAATATTCATATAATCAGATAATATATTGATAATTTACCCATGGAACATGTGTAGGTGACTTCATGGCTGCCTCTTCTATGAAAAGTTAAAATGCTAAAATACTCAAGACGTTTGCCCCATGCACATAGGCACTGCCTTTGCTCTCCTATAGGACTCTCCTGTCATGCTTTCTTCAACTTCTGATCCTATGCAGCATTTCCTCATTGCAAGAGAGGCTTTTTGATAGTGCTTTCATGTTATGGTTGAAATACAATGCATATATTCAGAAGCAGCCTAGTGTCCCAGATATAATTATGTCTCAGGTAAATTTGCAGTTCGTGCAGAAGTACTGTAATCTCAAAACAAGCACTTGCTATGTGGGATGAAAGTGAGTGAGTCAATATATAAATAGCTTAAAATGATAAAAAGAGCATTTGCGGTAGGTGGGTGCACATGTCTCAGGATTGCTTAATTCAGATGGTTGGTAATTTACTTTCTTCTGGCATAGGAAGAGAGTAAGCCACTATCTGTAGTACAAGCAGTGACCACAAGTGGGACTGGCAATTTGGTTGTCAGGTGAAGCAGTCACTAAATGAAACATCATGATTTTACAATTTTAACTCAGCTTTCTTTTGCTTTCCAGACCTGTGAAGGTCATAAATGCAAGGATTGGTCACAAAGTTAATTTTTCATTGCTGTCATAATTGTAAATGAGGCAGTCACTAAAACGATATTGTTTTCTGAAATAGATTTTGCAATTTTCACTGAAATGTATTTCTCAATGTTGGTAGTTGGTAAACTGGATTTCCCATTCATGGGAAATAATGTCTTATTTCCTATAGATCTTCTGAATTTATATGTAATAACAACTCTGCCTAAAATAATACTTTAGCAAAGTAAATAAATACTTCAGGGGAAAAATTGAATTCTTCAGGTGAAAGTTATTAGAAAATAAGTTCAAATTTATGTAGGAGTCCTTGACTTAAAACCACAATTTGGGCCAGGATGACCATTGTACATCGGTAATGTTGTAACCTGACATGTAACATGAATGTAATGACTTACAGTGGTAATTCTGGCATTCGCTATTGACATTAACTAAAAATTGTGGGGTGAGTAATCATCCCAATCCAAGCCACCCCAATCCAAGCCACCCTCCCAGCCCCGGAGGCACCCTCAGTAAGGTTAAGGGTCTGCCTCCATTTTCCCCAATCTGCCTATATTTACAGCCCACCTGCATTTATGAAAAAGGAGCAATTTGTAAGACCTGCAACTAATCCTAGAGCCACAAAGGTGATGTAATATTTGTTGCTATGAAACATTCTCTTAAATTTCATGTTGAATAAGATTTCTCATCTTGAGAAGTTATTATTGAAGAAGTGCTCAATTAAATATCCTATTAAAGAAAAAGAATGAACTAATTTTTTAAAGAAAACTTTTTAAAAATTGAAGAACACATTAAAAAATCTATAGGTGAAAAGCCAAATCCTCTTAGAAGAAATTTGACCTTTATAGCATCTAAAAGTATGTACCGCTAATTGGTTGTGTTTTGGATACTGTCATTACACCATTACTGTACATGCTGCACTACCATCTAGTGGCCACTTTAAAGTATTTCCAAATCTCATTTATTTCTTTACATTTATGTCTCAGTTAATTGCTTGTATCAGTTTTTTTCTTTTACAAACTTATGTGTGGGGAAAAAAGACCGTAATGTGTTTGCCATGTTTTCTATCAGCCTCCTATACTACATGAGGTAGATTTTCTGATTACCAAGAGGGATAGAACAATGTGGACTAGTACTACTATCAGATGGATTCAAAGTTTGCTGACCAACCACACCGAGCATGTAGTCTTCAATGAAGCTACATATACGTGGAAGGAAGCATGCGGTGGGGTACCTCAAGGTTCTGTCTTGGGCCTGGTGCTCTTCAACATCTTCCTAAATGATCATGTTGCAGACAACATGAAGCTGAAGGGAATTGCCAACACTTTGGAAGATAAGACTCAAGATCCAGATCTTTAGAGACTTGAACATTGGGCCTTATACAAATAAAATGCAGTTCAGTGGTGATAAAAGTAAGGTGTAAAAAAGATGTTGAGACTCTAGAAAGAGTGCAGAGAAGAGCAACAAAGATGATTAGGGGACTGGATGCTAAAACATGAAGAAATGGTTGCTGAAATTGAGTATATCTAGTTTAATGAAAAGAAGAACTCGGGTTAGGGGGTCAATCAATTATCCGGGGCACCTGAGGGCAGGACAAGAAGCAATGGATGGAAACTAATCAAAGGACAGAAGCAACCTAGAACTTTTAAAAACTGACAATAACATAATCTGTCAATGGCTACATATAATATCAATTATCAGGAGCAGCATGATTGTGACTGCCAGTTCCTAAGAACTGCAACAGAGAAAATGTTGTCCTCAGGTCATGTTTATGAAGATTCCATGAACCTGTGGCTAACCTTTATAGAAAAAGTGTGTTCCTCTCTATCTATCTCTACACACATCCATTATAATGTAGTTCTGGTTTTGGTTTAAAGAACCCAACAACTGTGGATTGAAAACCATACTTCAAAGCTTAGGGTTATGCAGGAAACTGAATCATAGCTTAGTGTGATATGTGGGCCTGACAGAAACAAGATTTAGTCAGACTTTCAGTAGACTCATTTACATTTCATTGATTTTATTTAATTTACACTAAACACAATTAAATATGGATCCACACTAAGATTCTTATTGGGATAAACTCTCATTAGCATTTCTGCCATGTTTAGAAACAGGAGGGTCAGAATCTCTTTTTAGAACTTACCTGTTTTGTAAGAACCAAACCTAATATACAAATATATATTTTAAAAATGGGGACACCAAGGAAAGAGGTGTAAAAGGTTCTGCTGTATTATCCATCCATCAATCCTTACAGATGATATTCCAGAGGGTGGAGCCTGTGTGATGCAGTCTGTTTTCTGTTTGTGTTGAATGTATGAAGTTTTTAGATCTTTTCCCCTTGGCTGCCATACCTTACACTCAGTTTGTGATTTTATTCGTTTAAATTTTGTTAATCTCCCAGTATTATGCATTTGATATGTCCATATAAAATATTATCATAGTTTTTAACCAATTATACCAATTATTCCATATTTTATAATAGTCTGATTCTTCTTTTTCTTGTAATTCTTTGGTTAACCTATCCATTTCAGCGCATTCTAAAATTTTCCCTATTACTTCTGTTTCACTTGGTATTTTTTCTTGTTTCCAATTTCTTGCGTAGGTTATTCTTGCAGCAGTTAATATGTGGATTGTAAGATATTTGATATCCTTAGGGTATGATTTGTTAAATATTCCTAATAAAAATGTTTCTGGTTCTTTTTCAATCTGTGTTTTTGTTATTTGTTCCAACCATTTTTTGATGTTAGACCAAAATTTCTTTGCTGCCGGGCACGTCCACCATAAATGAAAGTCCCTTGTGCCTTTTTGCACTTCCAACAAATTGGGCTATTTTTAGGTTGTATTTTTGCCAATCTGGTTGGAGACATATGCCACCGATAAAACATTTTCAGTTGGTTTTCCTTGTACGCCGTTGCTTTCGTTAACTTTAGGTTTACCTGCCAGAACTTTTCCCATTTTTCCAAAGGTATTGTGTTTGATATTTTGAGCCCACTTGATCATCGTTTCTTTGACTGTCTCTTCTTCCAATTTATAGCGTAGGAGAAATTTATAAATTCTACTAATTAATTTATTTTCTGAATCTAATATAATTTTATCTATTTCTTGTTTTTGATTATAAATTTCATATGTTTTTATATGTTCTCTATATTTGGATTGTATTTGAGTGTAAGTCCACCAGTCTATTCCTCTGTGTAATTCTATCTCCAATTGTTGTTTTGTCTTTAGTTTGCCTTGATAGTCAATTATATCTTTATATCTAATTATTTTTGTCTTATCTGTTAAGTTTGGGTGCCTAATTGATTCAGCCGGTGCTAGCCAATTTGGTATCTTCATATAATGTTGTTTTTTAATTTTAAGCCAAATTTGTAATAGTGAGTTCCTTATTGTATGTGTTTTAAAATATGAATGTGTTTTGTATTTCTCATCCCACATAAAGGAGTGCCAGCCAGTTTGAAATTCACATCAAATTTCTATTCAAGCCAATAAACTGTAGTGGTTAAAATGTCAGACAGCATTGGGACACACTGTTTCAAGAGCCCTTATGACTAAAGAAGACTTTGTACCAGTTATTATTAGATTATCACATCTTCCTTATTTTTCTCTTCTTTAGGCTCTATTTAAAAACGCAGAATACAAATTCATCCAAAGATAAACAACTTGTTCTTGATTTCAGTAAAAGATTTCTTTTCAGATCTGTCCATCTGCATCTTTCTTGTAACATATGTAGATTCTTGTAATATATAAAGAATGGAACATACTTTATAAATTAGCATGTTCTTCAACAAAGTGATATAATTAAAAAAAGAAAATAGCCATAATTTCTTCCTTCTCCTTTATTGATATTGCCAATGTGACTACCTTTACGCAGATAGATTGCTTTCCTATACAACATGCACTCTTTTTGGGAATTAACATTGCCCACTAGACCTCCTACAATTATCAAAATGACACCAGAATTGTTCCTTAATTTCCACGTTTTCCTTTGAAGAATTTCCATTAAGTTCTTTGCTGCAGGTCTGTGTAAAGGTTACTTGGCAAGAGTTCATGCATATGACAATAAAATGGAGACCAATCCACCACTAAAAGGAAATGCACATAAAAACATAATACAGTACTTTGACATTCAAATAAATACCCACACAGAGATGTAATTTTAAATGTAATCATACCACTTATAAGTCAATACTGTAACCAAAAGGATGAAAACTTAAGTCCCCACCTTCTAGAACATTTTTTCAGCAAACAGAAAGCTTTTTCCCATGACATGATTATAATCTCAATTCTTTTAAAAATTATTTTATATAAAGAGAAAAACTGATTTCTGCTCCTCGCAAGGTTACCAAATTTAATTATTCAAAGTTAGCCTCAACAAATAGCACTGCAGGGAGAACTTGTTGATGCACATCTCAGTTTCTGTTTCCTGAAATCACAAATGAATTAGATAAAACATGCAAGAGAAAAATATTAAATATCTTGCTTTTCTTCTTCACATTTGCAAACAATACTATGGTTAACTGGATCCATCACCACACAAAGCTACCAGAACTCCCAAAACATCCCCTGTACTGTAATCACAAATGGATTAATACACCTTGCTTCTTTTTGCTCAATAATATTACTTTTGGTTTGCAAAGTATATTTGTGTTTTGTTTACTTTTTTTCTTCTATACCCCTGAATTTGCATGATGAAGTATCATTGACTAACAGAATTTTTTACAATTTGAGCATATGTAGTAGATCTACTCTACAGTAGGTCTACTCATTAATAAATGTGCGAAGGGGAGGTTATATTGCCCTTATTGCTCCACTTGATAACTAGCTTTCAAAACCATGGTTCTTTATTTCTTGGACGGACTAAGCCAGCTTAGGGATCTCCCTTGAAAATTATGAAAGGCACTACTGGCAATAATTAAATGGAAAAAAAAGGCGCTGAAGTTGAACACCCTAGCAGTCACAACTTCAGACGTTATCTTTCTAAAATGTAACACAATTTGGCACAATAAAACAAAGTAGTAACAAAAACAATTCCAATTTGGAATTTAAGTGATATCGTTGTATAAAATTCTGTTAATCAATCATACACCATAAGGTTTTCCTAAAACCCAGACATTCTGGAATTTATAGGTAACACTAATATTTATTTTCAAGTGCCTATAACTGTTTTCACCAGAGCAAAGTCAAGTTTTCTTCTTGTTACATTGAACTATTCCTAAGAATAATAATACAATATGAAAAAACCCCAGAATTTGAATACCCTGGATTTCTTAATTAACATGGCAGTTAAAAATCAGTAATTGAAAACATATAAAGCTTAATATTTTATATTAAAAAAAAGATGCTGATATACAGCAAGTAGATCGTTTAGCAGAAGTCCTAGTTTGTATTGAAGCTCCTTTCTAAATACAGGGTAGAACAAAACAATATAGTATAAAACTCTGCCACAAATGGATGAGGAAAGATCAAGCAGAAGCTTCAAATAGACAGACTATTAGCATAAGTCACTAGATTTTTTTTCCATTAATATAAACTCTTCTACAAAAAAAAGAATAAAAAGATATTAAAGTAAATATCAAAATAGTAAAAGTGCACATGTTTAAACAATCAACTGCTTTTTTTTTTTAAAAAAAGAAAGTTCTATAATGAAATTAAAAAAAAACACAGTTTGAATATTTCTTATGAGCATAATAAGCTACCATGGCAATTATTACATTATGAAGTATGTTTCTTCAGCATTTGTAAGTTTTCTTCCTGCAGCAGCACTTCAAAGATAAAGCTTTATTTTTGTTTCCAGACATAACATGCCAAAATAAAATAAAAAAGGCTAAATGAGAACACAGGTTGCATATTGAAAAGAACATATTTTGAATGGGGATGGGGCGGGGGAGAGTAGAGAATTCATTAAGAGTAGTTTCCATTCTTTGTGCAACAGGCAACCATCACTTGTAAGCATAACGACACAGGCTAAGATATGAAGTTGTATTGTTGTAATGGCCTTCTCCAGGAACTACTCTACAGCTGGAAGGTGGAAAGTAAAAAAAAAAAAAAAGAAAGAAAAAAGCAAAAACATTAGATTTTTTTTTTTTAAGTTTCACTGTCCAATTTAAAAAAGGAAACATATAAAGATATAGACAAGAATGTGCTGCAGGACATTTACACAAATTAATTAGTTGAGATGCATGTGTTAGTCTTTTAAAAGCCAATGTAGCTCATGGGTGCTTTTTCAAACACCGAAGTTAATATTTTAATGTGTCACCTGTTAGCCAAAGCTGTGCAGGAAGAAAAGTTTCTTACAACTCCTGAAGCCAAGTTGCTCAAGCGTAAATAAACAATGGCAAATTCACAAGAGAATTGATCAGTGAAGCTGCTGCCTCTTCACAAGCATGCAGGTGAGTCAGTATATCATGCCAGCCAATACAGTGAGCAGTAAAATCACTCAGAAGAGAAGTCCCACTTCCAGAGGTAGGTGATGGCTTAGTAAGTTTTCCACGTTGTATTCCAACCCAATAAAAGCAAAAGGAAACATTGGATGCATCAAGTTAATTTTGAAAAAGTTAAACCAAGTAAGTACAAGCCCCTCTCAAAGCTTAGACATAAGAGCAAATCATAGCTGTTTTTTTCCCCAAGTCTGTTTCTAAAAATCGAATGTACAACTAAACAAATATAAGGATGCAGCTGGGCTGCCATTCTCTAAGCAGCGCTTCCCAAACTTGGATAAATTACCCAAACTTGAGTAAAGTATTTTTTTCTTTGGGTAGTGACACACAAACCCATTACCCAATCACAACAGGGACATTCAAATTAAACTGTATTACCTACATTGGGTCCAAAGGACTTTCGGATAAGCCCTTTTGAGTAATGAAGCTTGAGAAGCACTGCTCTAAGCAGTTACTGTGAGTTCTGAAGACGTAGAATGATTCAACGGCTCAGAAGAATGAAGATTAACAAAAATAGCAGTGACAACAATGTAAACAATTAGCAAGTCTATTGAAAATTATAAATATGATACACTAAACAATGCAACCAGATGCACAGTTGCAATTCCAGAACCTTTAAATCTCCCAATTTAATGTCAATTTACCTGAATTTTTTACCAATGCAATCAATTTCTTAAAATTTCCTCATCCTAAACCCAAGAGAAGGAGATGCTTGAAAACTGTATTTCATAGATTCCCTCTTAACCTGGTTAAGTTGCTGCTTCTAATGGAGCAAAATAGCTTAGCATTTATTATCAATGCAGGGGTTTTGCAAGAAAGGGAACAGAGTTTATAAAGGCCTTCTGGATTATTGAGCATTAAAGGAGAAAAGCAGGGTGGACCACTGTTAAAAGGCATTCTAAAAATATCAAAACCTGGCAAATAGCTACATTAAAGCTCAAATTCAGGAGAATAGAGTGTTTCCTGCAAAAGCAATAATAAAGTGAGGCATATAGGGTCTACCATTTTAACACTGTTTATATGCTTGCCAATCGGTCAATAATTCACAATTAATTTGAATTCAGCAGACTAATTTTACCTCCTAATTTCTATATTCTTTATTAAAGAATTTTTCTTTACAACCCATGTTGCAAATATGTTCAGTTTTCTTCCCAATTTCAAGAAAGATGTAAGCAATTCTTGGCTTCCTTTTACTAGGAAAGCTCTCTCTTTATTATTTTACAGTAACATTGCTATATCTCCTAACTACTTCATAGGCAGAGCAGTGCTACATAGGAAGGAAGCTGCAGATCATCTAAAAAGAGATAGTAATGTGAGATGAGGCAATACAACACCAAGATTATTATTAGCATGGCTCGAAGGGGGAAGAGGAAGGAAGGAAAGAAATATTTCTACATTAGCAGACATAGCTGCACAGTCCTGCATTACTTCTTTGTAATATTCTAAGCATACAAAGTTATTTGAAAAGAGTACAGTATGAACAGGGCTTTACATTAAAATAATGTTTGAGGCTAGGCACTTCTGAATTATTTTGTTTTTGTTTAAGTGTGCCTTTTTGTGCTCCTTGGATTTACCACAATTTTTTTTTAAAAAAAAAACATATTTTTCCCCTCTTGTGTCATTCCCCCTTCTTTAGGCACCAATTATGAAGTACACTTTTTAAAAAAATCTAGTGTATTGAAATTAAGTGGCTGAAAAGGCCCCTTAAAAGTTTGATGAAGTATTTTTAATCAATGAATACATCTATGCTAATCAACCTCACAATTAGGCATAACCAAGAATAAACTAATCATTTAGTTTCCAGTGCCTAGAATGTAGAGCCCTGTGAAGTGTGTGGTTGCATAAGAAATACAATTTTGTTTTATTTAAACAAAACTTAGAGCTCATTAATACTATCCTATAAAGCTCTAATACTGACAGTTAAGGAGAAACTGCATTGCAATTTGACAATACTAGAACATACTCCTATTAATTCTATACACATAGATAGTAATAATGGACATCCTCTAAGCATTATGTAATCTCTTTGATTGCAGCAGAAAACAATTATGCAATTGTCCCACTAAAATCAAGGAAAATTAAATAAGCTTAATACTAGATAATGTCCAATGTGTAATTCCCCTTTCTTCCTGGCATATTAATTGCCAGAAACCATAATATTTTATCGTTGTAGTGTAGTATATTCTTCCTACATCACATCTGCTCTGATGTAGTGTTCTAGTTTTGCTTTCCTTAACCATTAAATTCTCCTCCCAAACAGGCAATATTACATTGCATATTTTTTTAATGTGCAATTTTTAAAATAGCTTAAGCCCAAGAAGCCAAGCAGGGATAGAAAATAAAGGGCTTGAGAAGGTTTCCTTCTTTCCCATAGTTTGCGTTCATATTTTAAATTTAGAGAATTTTTTTTTGAACTTTTAGATAATGATAATGACAGCAATTAAGCGCTGCAGCAAATTTAATCATCTTCCCATTGTACTTCTGATTTTAGAAGCTGGATACCATCACTTCTCAAAACTACTAACCATGGAGACAGTTTTGCTGTCTCCATCCCTGGAAACAAACTTACAACTCTGGGAAAAGCATCCCATTTGTGCTAGACAAGCTACAGTTAGTAACAGCATGTAGACTGTACCTGATATGCTCCTTTAGCACTTACCCATAATCCACAAAACCAAAGCCATTCACTGCGGAAACAGCAAATACTCTTCCACCATTAACTTCTTCACAGCCTTTCCCCCACCCATGCTTGTGACTCAGTTACAAGTTAAGACCACTATAATACACCTTGTATTACATGGTTTAACAACATACTAATATAAATCCACTCATCACTGCAATATTAATATAGTGGGGATTAATGCTGACATTCAAAAGCACAAACATCAGACGTGTGTTTACGGCTTCCTAATTTCTTCTTTAATCACAACAGATCTTATACTTATCACTGCAAAAAACTTGGTTATTAAGCACAGAGCCTTCCGACTTGTCTCCACATGATCGAATGTGACTTACACTGGGGTTACTACTCTTGGCTTTGGATGCAGATTTTGTGCGCACCCTTTTGGACTGCTCATGATCCAACTCAAGATGTTCAAGGCGCTGGGTCAGGGCCAGCTTTTGCTGAATTGCCATGCGAAGCAAGGAGTTGAGGGTCTTCTTTTCATCTTCAGCTGCAGCAAGCTGGCGTTGCATTTCATCCAGCTGAGTGACATATTCATCACACCTGCAACGAAAATGCACTTTTAAGCGCAAACCTACAAGAATTGATTCAGATATGCCTTTTGAATGCATTTATAACTCATAGGAATAGTCTATTCACATGTGCGGAGTGTAGAGTGTTATAGAGAGGTGCAATGTTGGTGCTCTCAAGCTCCAAAGGACCTCTTGAAAACCGGATTCAATGGCTATGCTGCTTGAAGGGGAATGAACACACAAAGGGTTTACATTAACTAAATGGTGTTACTGTATTGTAGGGTATTGTACTAGTGTGGCAATGACTTGCCATCTCAACAAGGAATCCTGATGTTCCATATAAAAATCAAACGATTCCTTTTAATTATTAAATAAGAAACAGATCTTATTTATTACCACACGAAGCCCTTATAAACAGAAGAACACTGACACTGACATCCCCTAAACTCCACTGAAGATGTTACCTAGCCTGGTAATGAAATGTTCAGAAACCAAGCCACGAGCTCAGAGAATGAACCTTCACTCTCAAATAGATCTTAGCTGAATTACAACTGCTTTATTTATATATGTATTTTTTTTTAAGGCTAGAAGCTAGAAAGAGCCTCTAACATTGTGCGATGGGTACCAGCCCTTGCAATGTTCCAAGGCTCTTTCCACCTTTGGACACATTGTCTAGCTTTCTACAGTAGCTGGGTGTACTTGTCAGCAGCTGCCACAGAAAGTAAATGGACCAGGGGTGAAATGTAAAATTTGTTACTACCAGTTGTGTGGGTGTGGCTTGGTGGTGGTGGTAATGTGACTGGGTGGGCATGGCCAACTTTTTTTTTTTAACTTTTCAAAGAATTTTTTCTAATGCTTTGAAAAGCCTCTGTCGATCAGACAACTCAGCTGGGATTGTCAAAGACTTTTCAAAGCATTTTTTTTACCACCTCTTCGGCCAAGAGGTTGCAGAAAAAAATGCTTTGAAAAGCCTCTGACAATCCCAGCTGAGCCACGCGATCATCAGAGGCTTTTTTTAAACTTTTAAAAGCATTTTTTTCATCGGAAGAGGTTGTAGAAAAAATACTTTTAAAAGTAAAAAAAAAAGTCTCTGATGATTGTGCGGCTCAGCTGGGCATGTTGGGGCGGGGAGGGGGCACAGGGATTTTTGCTACCAGTTCTCCGAACCACCCCCCGCCATCGCTATCGGATCGGGCAATCCGGTCCGAACTGGGAGCATTTCACCCCTGAAGTGGACCCCTGTATTTGGGCAGACAGAATGCCCAAACTTACTAGGAGTGGTGTGGCTAATGGGTGCTGGGCCTCCCAGGCCTCTCCCAACCCAAGATATTCCAGTGTGGTCTCTTAACAATTGCAGTGGGAGAGCAGAGCTGGGATTGCAAACACTGAATGAGGCAATCATGGGGATGACTCACTTAATGACCACAACAACTTATGTAGGCTCAATTGTGATCATAAGTCAAGGAGAACCTGTATTTGCTTTAGTATGATGTACAAACACAGGTACTAGGTAAATTTGATTAGCATGGGCGTGAATAACAATTCATATTTAAAGCTTTCTTGACAAACTTTAAACTTGACAAACCCTTTCATTCAAGGCTATGATTTTTAATATTCTATTCTCATCCTTTCTTGAATTACCACTCAGCCTTTTACTCAAATGCCACCACATTAATATCTTGATCAAGATCACAAACTTCAGCCCTGTGAACTATCTCAACTATCTCGCCACTGTTTTATTGAAAAGGTTCCAATAATGGTGAGGAAAACCTAATTCATTCAGCAACTTTTCTCCCATGTGATTTTTAAAAATTGTAATTTAGACATACATGCTATCAAACTTTATCTAATAATATTCAATGTTATTCCACCCATCAGTGTTTGTCCAGTCCTTCTTGGCAAAAAGCTCCTTCATTATGTCTTCCATCCCAGTAACCGTTAATTTCTCATAGCAGTTAGCACAAATATTTTTCATGATAATGCTTGTCCTCAGCAATTGTCTACTTTCAAGGTGACTACTATAAACGTACATAACAATTTTATTTGCGGTAACCATCTTTTGCTAAATTTTACCTGGTAGCAAACATGGCCCTCAGAGAAGAGAAAGTAGCAGCGTCTTCTTTTAAAGCTTTCAGTTCATTGCGCAGCTTCATCATTGTTTCTGTAACCATTGCCTTTTCATTTTCATATTTGCTTTTCAAGTTTGCAAGGGCAACTTCTGCTGTCTGATTGTTTCCCAAAAGGAGCAAAAGAAAAGATCCACAATTATTGTAAGCTTCTATAAACTAGTCAGATAAAGAGGATGTTAATGTATTCACACACCCAGATAAAGACTTGATAATGCAGGCAATTAATCTAATGAACAATTAAAATATAATTCGTTATTTCTGAAGATACTTTTAATATGCAAATCTAAGAAAGAAACAAAAATGTTTTGGATAGGAGTTCATTGGGGAATAGCCTTTTAATAGCAACATTTTACCCAAACCCTTCTTCCCAATGATGTCTGTGATGGAAGTGTCAAAAAAACCACGGCACAAACAAAAAGATTTCTGTTATGCTGCTTCTACCATCTTACCGCTTTGATTTTCATCAGGCCTACTCCTTCCAACATTGCTGCTTCTACCACCTACACTGATGGGATTAAGGAATAAGGAAAGAGAAATGAATCCTGATACTATGAATCTTTTTTGATTTCCTGCTTTATAAACAATAATAACAAAATGTCTTCAAAAAGCATGCAAACCAATATTCTTTACTTCCTTTCTGACAACTTCTATTTAGTGACATACTTTTATTATTACTATTCAGACTACTCACTGATAAATCCATCCTGGATTTCTGGAATCCATATGATCCATCCTGGAATCCATATGATATGTCTAATTTTGCCTTAAAACCATTTAAGCAATGATTAAGCTATGCAAGTTGCCAAACTTTGGGGGTGAGAAGAGAATGTTTATTTATAACCACTTTACCCTCATTATACATAAATTTATATATTTTGGTCTTGCCTTCTCCTTGGTAACTTTTTCTTTAATTACTATTTGTCAAAAGAGATTTTCTCTGTATCTTTTCCAGTCTGTTACTTTCAATCTAGATGGATCAATTTAGACTTAGACATAACAATCCAAAAGTAGCTTCATGATAGATTTGTTTATTTCAATCAGACTAGCAAAATAGAGGGGTGGGGTGGTAGAGAATGGCTATGCAGGCAATTAGAGAGACTGACCCAGAAGTCATAAGAATTAAGAAGAGTGGATTATAGAAGAACCTTTCTTCCAAGAGGGAGGATGATGGACCTTCTGGGAATAAGTTTCTATGATATCATAATGAGCCACATTCTGTGTAATGTAATGTCAATTATATTAAGAGCTGACAGTTATCTGGGGTATAAAATAGCAATTGATTCTTACAAAAAGAGCAATGAGTGAGCTACTATAATTACATTTCTGGATGTATATCAATGTGTGTGTGTGTGTGTGTGTGTTGAATCCTTTCTCTGTGTAGTTTAAATCTCACCTGTTTGTTGGCCTTTAGTACAGTCCTCAGTGTTGCAATCTGTTCTCTCTTGGTGCTTAGCAAAGACTTCAGCTTCAGAATTTCTTCCATAAGTGCCTCTTTATCTTTGTCCACTACTGGCCCAAGTTCCTGGGTAGTCACCCGCTGCCGTGACAGTTCAGTTGTTCTATCTACTGCTGCTTGCAAATGCTTGATCTGATCACGGATTATGGCAATCAGGTTGTAAACATTCATAGGTTCCTTCCGGGATACTTCAGATACTGGTGAAGGGAGGGATGAAACTGGTGAAGGGCTGCTTTCACCACTCCCGGTTTCTGGTTTTCCTAAGTCTATTGACAATAAGCCTTTAGAGAGCAGGATTGGTGATCTGTGGCCTTTGACCTCTGGACTGGTATGTCCTCCTTTGCCCTGTTTGTAGTAATCTAGCATCACTCTGTTGGGGGTTTCATTGTTGCACATACATACGTGGTGATACAAGTTGGCTAATTCCTCACTGAAGGTGACCAGTTCATCTTGGGCTACACTAAGGCTGCCCTGGGTTTCCCCGGCAACATCAGTGACTTTCCTGAGTTCCTTCTCCAGCCTGATGACCTGCTCCCTATCTTGTCTACTAGATTTGTCCAAAGAACTGATCTTTTCTGTCAGGGCTTGACTTTCTGTCTCGTACCTGCTTTTATCCTCTTCATATTTGGATTCACATTCCTCATATTTAGCCTTGACAGCTTTAAGTTCCTCTTTCAAGTCACTGATTTCTGCCATAGCTACCTTATACTTGCATTCCAGGATCTCTGGGCCATTTATATCAACCTCATAATAATCTCCATCTTCATGGCTATCTCGTTCTTTCTCATTGTCAAGAGCAGACTGACGTTCCTTGCTGACCTGGAGTTTTTTCATGGCATTGAGGTTCTCGGTGAGCCTGCCAACTTTCTCATGCTGCTCAGAAAGTGCACCCCGGGTGTTCTCCAGTTGTTTTTGTGATTCTTGGAGTGTTGATAACAGATTCATTTTTTCTCTTTCCATCTATAATGAAAAATAACTATTATTTTCTGAACTCAAATCTGTTCCTATTTTTCATAAGTGAAAAATCTAAATTTGGCACCAGGCCTTTACAGCTAAATGTAACAAGGAATATTATTATAAGATTTATTGGATCTAAACGTTTTAAGCTATGATTTCCAGAATTTGGAATCGTTAACCTATAGTACAATTCGTTCTCTGCTCTTTGTGTTTTACAATGAAAAATGTACCAAATTATAGGCATCTATAGTACCGGAATTGAAAATGCATTCAGATGTTAAGGATAAATATATTACACAACATAGTTTAATTCTCAGAGGTAGATATATTTGTTATTCATGATGGATTACTATTACTCTGCCTCAATAAAGAATACAACTCAAGTGTAAGAATTTAGACTGCATTGTCCCTTGATCACTGATCACCCAAATAAATTGCAACCTCAAGTTTTTTTGGAGGCTTTAATGATATAACAGTGAAGTTTAGGTAATTATGCTAAATGGAAATAATATGTTATAATACTGAAAATTATAATAACTTATAGATCACCCAATGCCCGTTTTTGAGGAAATGGGCAGTTTAGAAACATGAAATATAAATGAACACATAAATATCAATATCTAACAACTTTTTAAATTTGTCTTGATTATAAGAGAATGTAACAGGTAGTTCTCACTTAATGAATTCCCTCTTTAGCAACTGTCTGAAGTTATGACAGCACTGAAAATGTAACTTTGTGATTGGTAATTGTAAATTGCATTTATGATCACTGTAATATCCTTGTAGTCACGTGATCACCAGCTCAGAGTCAATGAAGACAATAAAGATGTAGTCATGTGATGGCTTAATGATCACAGGTGACTTGCTTAACTGCATCAAAAGTGCACTGCAAAAATGAGCCTTGGTAGTACAGTGGTCTAAAGCACCCTGTTATTAAGACCAGCTGCCTGCAATTACTGCAGGTTCGAATCTCGCCAGGCTCAAGATTGACTCAGCCTTCCATCCTTTCTAAGGTAGGTAAATTGAGGACCCAGTTGTGGGGCAATAAGCTGACTTTGTATAAATATACAAAAGGATGAAGGCTATTGCTTAGCGCATTGTAAGCCACCCTGAGTCTCCGGAGAAGGGCGGCATATAAATCAAATTAAAAAAAAAAAGTGAGGATGCAAGTCCATCATGGTCACATGATATCTTGCTTAATGACTGCATCACTTATCAAAGGAGTTGCTGGTCCCAATTATGGCCATTAAGTGAGGACTACTTGAATATTATATACTGATTATATAAGTAAAGCTAGTTCACATCAGTTTAATTGATCAAAGAAAATTCTACTACCTATTATGATAAACATATATTTTTGTAATGTTCATTCATACTTTTTCCTGGGACAAAGATATACAAAATGAAATCACTTTCTCTTCATACAAAATAATCACTTTGATTTTGCATGAAATATTTTACTCTTTAAAATGATACTTAAACTAAGGCAATCTAGAAAAGTCAATTGTGGATGGTCATATTTTAGTAAACTATTTAAAATGCCTCTACACTGTACAATCTACAGTAATGTTTAAAAACGTAGTCAACATTATAAAGTTTTATGTGGTCTCATGGGCATCCATGTTTTAGATTTTTAATTAGTTTTTTTTTACCTTTAACTTTTAAAAATTTTCCGTCTTTATTATAAAACTTTAAAAGTTGGGTAATTTCTATGAAAAAAAATTGGAATATTTACCCATCTCATGAGATTTCAGCTAATACATATAAATTATTTAAATTAATCTTGATATCACTGACATAAATTACAAGTGTGATATGTGCTTTCCTGTAATGCAAGAATTTTACAAAATTAAACATCAGGGCAGTCCAAGTAAAATCTATTATCAGTGGACTTCAAATTTTAACAGATTTCTACTTTATGATAATTGAAAGCATTATTTTCGTAAACACTGTATAAAGGAGTAAGACCTACCACGTCCCAAACGTTTTCGAACTTAGGCTATTCTATTTGCCATTTCAAATAGAGCCAATATCAAAGTTAAATACCACAGTTCACTTCAGCAACCTCATGTAATGAAATAAAATCTCTAACCAGTACATATTTTTGGAAACACTTAATTTTAAGAAATTGATATGCACATATTTAAGGAATAGGTATGGTATAGACTTACTTGCATTAGTTGTTGTTTCAATTTTTGGATTTCAGATATATTTAACTCACTCAGAAGATCGTTCACCAAACTAGGGGCTGGAGGGAAGCTGTCGGATTTTTTGGGTGTTGATGCTTTATTATTGCCATTGTTGATTTTACTCAGGCAATTTGGTTCAAAGCCATTCACAATCTCGTCATTATTGGGCTCGGTGGTCTCATCGCTAAACTTCAGTCCATCCAAAGAGATGTTCAAATGGCTGGTATACATGGAGTCATTGATATTCATATAATGAGATAATTCTTTCCGAAGATTATTCTTCTGTTCACGTTCTGTCTTCAGGGTTTCCAAGGCTTCTTCAAGCTGGCGTTCAGATATCTCTTTCAATCTTATGGCATCTTCTAATTGACTGTTCAGGAATTCTGTAACCTCTTCTAGTCTTTTGATTTCATGCTTCAGCCCTTCAAATTCCACCTGTTACAGAAAAGGTGTCACTAAAATACCTGATAGCAAGCATGAAAGAAGGAATGTTAAAATGTTCCACTTAAAGTAGTAAAAGCTCTACAAAAAAACCAAGGAAGAAATAGAAGGATGGCATAGAGAGCTTCAAACTCTTTTTGTAATGCTTCCTCAGTGTTACCTTCCTAATACCAATAACAAGGTATTATAAATTTGTGTTCTTAATTAAAATGTGTTCTCTCTTACCTATGGGTTTTCCTCTGAATTATTTTATATAATACCGTGTTTCCCCCAAAATAAGACCCTGTCTTATATTTTTTTGAACGCTGAAACGCTTGGCCTTATTGCCATGCACTCAAAAGCTCGATTGGGCTTATTATCAGGGGATGTCTTATTTTGGGGAAAACAGGGTATAATTTTATACTATGGTATAAAACATGTCACTTTTGAAAATCAAATAATATGAAATCTCAGGTCAGTTTCTATTCATTTCAATAAATCCTGCAAATTACATAAAGAACAAAACTTACATGAACCTAACACACAACACACATCCTAGAGATCACTTCCCTTGTAATACATCAGGGAATTGAGAATAGTATTCTTTGCGTTTAATGAATTGGAAACTGGATCATAAACATATGCTGCAACAAAGTTGTAAGTTTCTAGGACACAAAGCTGGGAACTGGGTATGTCTAGTTTGATGAAAACTCATTGTTAGTTTTACTAAAACAGATTGAAACAATGTCTTTTCTACCTAATATGTTACTGTTGCTTGTGTGTTCCTTTTTGTCTCCCTGTGCCTTTAAGAACAGCCCACGTTTCATCAGGAGAGAATGTTCTAAACTCATTTTTAAAAGGTTTTATTTTGGACTTTATATATGTTTTAGCCAAATGTATTGTGGGTGGATTTTGTCTGTCTGTAAACCATGAGGTATGCCTATCTGCAGAGGCCAAATTATTTCTCTCCTCAAGTTTGTTTGTGTATATGCATGCATGTGTGTGTGTGTGTGTATGTGTGTGTGTGTACACACACTTTCTCCTGTTGGCTCTCTTCTGTATAGTGGGGAAATAGCCTCTCTTTCCTAACAATATCTTTAAGACTTGCATTTTCCAACCTCTGCCTGCAAGCTATCCACCCCACCCCCACTGCCTTCCCTGAAAGATGTTGATCCTAACCAATTGTGTCCTAAGCATTTGGGAGCAGGAGCGAAGGCATTCCTTTTAATGTGTACTTTCTATTGTGGACAACTATTTGTCTGAAATGATACAGGGTCTCTTCAAAGTCCCTTCCAATTCTTTTATTCTATGTTCTCTATGTTGCAAAAAAGCAATCAAAAGAAAAGTGAAAACATATAAAGCTTTATAGTGTAAGGCAACCGTAGTTTGAAGCTGTGACACTTTTGAAATTTTGTGGTGGCCTCACTGATACATGGCTGACTATTTCCTAAATAATTATAACTGCAGGAAAATAGTGTGAGATAGCCCCCTAGGATGCCTTCTACTACCTAGGCAGGAGTCTTGCTTCACAACTTGCCAGCTGCTGTGGTTTTTCCAGCTTCTTCTTCACTAAAAGGGCCTGATGGACACCAAGGGAAATATTTGGCAATGCAATACTATCTGTGCACATCCATTATTTACCACTTTCCTCATAGCACCAAAGCTAGGAAATTTTGAAGGACTAAAATCTGAGGTGCTGGATAAAAGCTACATGCTTCCCTTATATACAACCATGCTGTCAACCCTGAAGCAAACCTGGCCGAGGCAATCTTTGTGGCTTCAGGGTTGTCACAAGGCAGAAGAGGGGACAGGGAGAGGGGAATAGTTAGCTGGGGTTTTGCTGTCAAAAGAAAAAGTTTTCCTGTGGGAATCAAGGTCATTCCAATAGGTGAATGGGAGAGGAGGAGTGGAGTAACCAAGCAACCAGCCAGCACCTCTATTGGAAAATATGACTGATCACTTGGGGAAAGGGAAAAACTTTCACTTTTAATTAGGTGAAAACCAAGGAACTTTCAGAGTTGGCTTTCACCAATTGTGCCAGTATGATGTAACCAATAAACTGTTCTTTGAGGAATCTACCTGCCTCGGAGTTTTGTTTTGAATGGGTGCATTACTTGGAATGCTGACACATGCCAGATAATAACTTGACAATACTCACTTGATTCTGTTTCAGAATAGACACTTGTTTCTGAAGGCAGATGTTTTCTTCTTCAAGTTCAGTGTAATCTTGCAGCAAGCGAGATTCCCGGAATTTATACTCTTTGATGTCATCTCGTAAACGGCCTCTCTGGTTCTCAACATTTTGATTTATCTGAAAAACATGCATTAGCATTAAATACTTTTTGCCTTTATATATATCTCCTGCCTTTCAGAGTAACATTCCTCCCGTAAGGTTATAAATTACAATAAAATAAAATAAAGTGGGAAATGGGAAATAAACATTCAATAACTGTTATTTAACAGTAAAGAATGTTCTAGGAATCGTGTGGTATGATGGGAAAATCCAGTTGGGTTTTGGTAACTTCTGCATTCCTCCCTTACTATTCAGAGATATTTTCTGTACCTAAATAATCCTATAACTTCTGGGCAAAATATTATTTGCAATGTTAATTTTTTTCATATACAATACAATACCTATTGTATTTTCCGGACTATAAGACGCACCTGACTATAAGATGCACTTAAATTTAGAAGAGGAAATCAACAAAAAGTTTTTGCCCTCTGTGGGCCCCATTTTCGGGCCTTTTCCAGCCTTTTTTCTGCCCGTTTTCAGGCTTTTTTCTGCCCGTTTTCTAGGCTTTTTTCAGCCCGTTTTTTATGCTTTTTTCAGCCCATTTCCGAGGCTTTTTTCAGCCCATTTCTGAGGCTTTTTTCAGGCTGTTTTTTTCTGAAAAAATTGGCCAAAAAAAGAGAAAGCCTTGAAAATGGGCCAAAAAAAGCCTCAAAAATGGGCTGAAAGAAGCCCTCAAAACTGGCCAAAAAAGGCCTGAAAAAGGCCCGAAAATGGGGTGTGCGAAAGCAAAAAAACGATGGCGGGTGGGCGGGGCTTCGGCAATATTCGGTCTATAAGACACACAGACATTTTCACCCCCTTTTGGGAGACAAAAGTGTCTTATACTCCAAAAAATATGGTATTTACAGAAAAATTGGGAAGTGCCCATATGTCAGTCTCCCCAGGTAGATTACACAGGAAATATGACTGGATGAGCTAGTTCTACTTTATTGTAAGGCTACATTAATAGAATCTTGCAAATCTGAAAGTACAAATCTTGGTAGTCTCTTTTACAGCCTGAGAAGCTAGGGAGGGTCCCTTTTGAGCGTCTTGCTCTGCCTATTCTCCAGCTGCAGGCTAGGCTCTAACCACGTCCTAGGCAGCATCTCTTCCTCTGTCTCTCAAGGTATTTCCCATCACTGTATACTATTTCCTAGCTTAATATTTCTGAGAGTTATTATAGAACTATACGACTTTGTTGCTAATACAGGTCTCCCTTCGGCAAAGCAGCTTCCCTACCCAATCAATGCTGCAGCTGCATTGATAGGGGATATTCCCAGACTGATCATACAGATAGATTTTAATTGCTTCCGCTGGGCAGAAGGTGGCTCAGGAATTCATGGCTTCTCTGGCAACCCTGGGCCTGCCCCAGTTATTTATGTCCCTAACTCACCAAAAGAGAAAGCTGATTTCTATCTGAGGACAATGATGATGTGAACTGGATACTATTAATCCGTTATTGTGGTCAGATAAGTCTTATTAGCCTTGGAGTTCTCTGCAGATTCTCAGCACCTCAAGAAGAAAGGACCTAATAATTGATCTAGTTGATTGATTTCAAAGGGAACCTCTGACACTCTGGTGCACAGTTTGATCAAGGCTATATTTGTTATGTGGAATTCAGAAGCAATAATAACCCTGGAACAGTTTATACTTATTTTGCAATTTATTACTAAAACAGCCACATAAATTGTATAACTAAGATAGACAGAGAAGAAAGGAAGCGAGATATCAGAAAAAACCCTTGGTTCCCAACTTGAGTCTTGGGAACCTGAACCATAGATTATTCAACAAGTTTTTCAACCTTAAGCAACTTCAAACTGTGTGCATACTAGGCATGCTGGCTGGGAATTCTGGACAGAAGTCCACACAGCTTAAAGTTGCTGAGGTTGAGAAACAATGAAGAAGATAATTTAGATCCATCACTCTGATGAGTCTTCACTATACAAATAAGGGAGGAGTAATAAAAAATGATTGACTAAAATAACAATAATTTTCCCTGCCTTTTCAAGGTTGCTTAATCACTTTTATTGTCTCTTTTATTTCCAATAAGAAGCAGAAGCAGCATCATAATTGTAATTAGTTTTGTTTATTCTAAATTAAGCAACCAAATCAGATCTAAGTTGGAATTATCCTTTCTACAGGTAATAAACACACCCATTTTTCCAAGATGAAAAGATTTGTAGACATACGTAAAATAAAAAATAAATTTCAGTACAAAGGTATTACTTTCACAATTTCATTGTAGAAAAAAATACAAGCCCCATTCATAATGCCATAAAAACACATTTCTATTTATGTCCGTTTAAATATTCATTACAATGAAACCTCCCAAATTTCTCACACATGAGATACAAATAATTCAAGCTGATGTATAATTTAGAAATACAAATGTGGAGACAGGATAACCTTGGTGGTTGTCAGTCCCTTGATATATTTTCTTCAGTCCCTTGATATATTTCTTCTTTCTCAATTAATTAGCATATATGTTCTAATAAAATTTGCCTCTGAAGGAATAAAGATCATGTGGTGTAATCTTGTGAAAATTAGATTCATGAATGCACAGGAAAGCCTCCTTCCCCCCTCTCCAAATTACAAATATAAAATCATAATTATGGTGATATCTTTCAGCTACTTCACTCATTTTTTTTTAATAGAGCATGCATAAGCTATTTCGCCTTGATTCAGATCAAAAATGCAAAATGGTAACAGCCATGACTTGAAGATATATTATGGATGACTTGTGCAACCCTTTCTACTGCATACCAGACTAAAAGATAGAGTAATTTCAGAATAAGAGTTAGGTTCTTGCTTTAAAGATAGTGTCTCCTATCTATCTTACAATGTATACATTGTAAGATAGATAGGACACATTAATTTTAAAATAAGAATTTAACTCTTATTCTGAAATTACTCTATCTTTTCCATCCACATATGACAATGTGTGGAGACTTCTACTGATGAACTGTTAATCAGAGTAAGATCCCTCCACCTGGCCTCAGGAGTCACTTGACTACTATACATACACAATGTACTGCACTCAACTGATAAATTCTTTCATTGCATTTGTGCTTGTAGGGACAGTATTTAGGGATTCTTGAAAACAGAAAAGCCTCGCCCCATCTTTTTTTAATCGCTTGATTTTCTTCTTCTGAAAGCAGAGTTCTCAGAGTTCTTACATTTCAATGGCCAGAAACTAGAGAAACGTATTAATCTTAACATAAACTGAGAATCACTCTGGTATGTGGTGTTTTCCAATTTTCTATTAACAAGAAAAATCTGTTGTAGTAAGAAGCCTGTTTTCAATTAGTGGCTTTCTCATTTAAAAATAGCTGCCCACTCAAGCTTTTGAAAAAATCAAAGTGCTTTGTAAACAACATGTCAAAAGTTAATGGTTAATGATTTATTCATCACTCCAGAGCATTTCTAAATGCAAAACACTAATTAAAAATTAATAATATAATAATAAACATTAATTAAAACAAATACAAATGGAACAAACATTAATATAATAATTTTATATAAAAAACAACCACATTCAGTGTAAACTTCAGTCTCCAATGACCTTCTAAAACAGCCATTCAAATGGGGGTCTGCCCTTGTTTCAGGGGCCAACAGATAAATAGTTCCAATGGATAACACTTGCTTCCATTTATCAAGATAGATAAATGTTCTCATCTATCAAGAACATCTTGATAGATGTTCTATCAAGATGTTCTTGATAGATGAAAATTTTTAGCAGACATTTTCTATAGTTAGAACCATTTTTTAACTTGATTGTAGATTCTTGCCCTAGTTCTAATATGCACAGCAACCAGGCTAAGTATTTTGACTGTTTCCTTTTCACTCAGACAGAAGAGTAAGATACGAAAGTTCTTTCTTTCTTTCTTTCTTTCTTTCTTTCTTTCTTTCTTTTCTTTCTTTCTTTCTTTCTTTCCTTCCTTCCTTCCTTTCTCCCTCCCTTCCTCCCTCCCTCCCTCCCTTCTTTATGAACAAGGCTGATAATTGTGCCAGTGTTTTTTTTTTCCTTTTTGAGAATGCCAGATTGGGTGGATATTGTTTTTATTTCAGGTTAATCTCCTTGCCCCAAAGAGAGCCTTTGGCCTTCTGTCTTGACATTTGTCTGCAGCCATTATTTTGATATATCTCTTCTTTTCCAGGCAGTGCAGTAGGATGTATCCATGGTTACAGTTACTGGGAAGCACACCCAGTTGCAATAATGCTGGCATGCAGTCCTTTCACCATCTTTGCTAGCAAGGGGATATTGTATTTATTTCTATCTCATTATTTATCTCGGAGCTCAAAGTATATGGAAGGATTTTTTCCCAATTTGATCTCCATCACAACCATATTATATGGATGTTGCACCGATGTGCAACAGAGGAATAGTGCACCTATATTGCTTCCAGGACCTGCAGTAACCAGGGGTGAACCACTGCTTAGAGTCACTTGTTTCCATTCTCCTATTAATCAGCTAGAGGGATGGGCCTGATTGGTTCCTGGGATTCCCTAATTGTTCATTGCAGTTCGAGATGACTTTAAGCAAACTAAACTAAATAACAAATAAAGTGCAGAAATTTGTGGTATTTATGTTGTTAGAAGCAACTGGTCTTCCACAAGCTAATATCCCTAATTGGCTCCATCATATGTTGACTCACTTAATGACTGCAATAACTTATGACTGTAATTTCAGGCTCAATTACAAAAGTTGAGAGCTACCTACAGTATATAATATAAACTCTTGATCCCTAGATAATTATCCTGTTTAGAATTTATTGAAGTCTAGCTAAGAGTTAAGAATTACTTGCATTTGGCACACCCTTTTCCTTATCATGAAGAAGTAGATCTATGATTTCTAAGTATGTTCCCTAGGTATACGATTCATGGATATCATACACTTCAAGAATATATCATATGCTTCATGTGTTGCAATTAAGGCAAGCCTGGACTTTTATTCTGAATTGTCAAAGGAAATGAGTCATCTTCTTCATATCCTTTTGGTCATATTTTCCAGATGGGCAATGTTCTATTAATATTGGAGA